TACCCTTAGCTTCTGCCACTCTCACAACTCCTATTGAACATTGTACTTGAAACTCTAGCCAGAGCAATCAGTCAAGAAAATGAAACTAAAGGGATACAAATAAGAAGATAAATTATCTCTGTTTGCGGATTAGATGATCCTATATCTAGAAGACCCCAGAAAAACGTCACCAGTAAATTTCTAGAGCTGACAAATAAATTTAGTAAAATAGCAGGACATAAGGTCAACATATATAAATCAATCAATTTCCTCTACTCCAATAATGAATTTGCTGAGAAAGAAATCAGCAAAACCATTCCATTCATAAAAACCTAAAACAAACAAACTTGAGAATAAATCTAACCAAGAAAGTGAAAGATCTTTATGATGAAAAATGAAGAACAATGAAGAAAGAAATTTAGAAAAACCTTAGAAGATGGGAAGACCTCCCATGTTCTTGGATAGGCAGAATTAATATTGTCAAAATTGCCATAATAATGAAAGCATTACACAGATTCAATGAATCCCATAAAAACATCAATGGCATTCTTCATAAAACTAGAAAAACAGCCCTACAATTTATCTTAAAGAATAAGAGATCCAGAATAGACAAAGCAATCCTGAACAAGAAGAGCAATGCAGGAGGCATCACAATTATACTAATATTAAATTATACCTCAGAACTGTAGTAATAAAACAGCATGGTATTGGCATCAAACAGATTTGAAGACAAATGGAATACCATGGAAGATACAGAGACCAAACCATGTAGATATAGTCATTTGATACTCAACGAAGATGCCAAAAACATGTTGGAGAAGAGAGAGGCTTTTTAACAAATGGTAAAACATAATACTAGATAATACATATCCATATGTAGAAGAATGAAACTAGATCCCTATCTTTCACTTTCAAAGAAGATCTCAAAGTGGATCAAAGACCTAGGAATTAGATCAAAAACTCTGTAACCACTGGAAGAAAAATAGGCTTAACAGTCCAACATATTAGCACAGGCAATGATTTCCTTAACAAGATCCCTAAAGCACCAGGAAAAAATACCCCAAGAATCAACAAATGGGGTGCCATCAGTTTAAAAAGCTTCTGCACAGCAAAGAAAAGAAGAGTGTGAAAGAGAGCCTACAGAATGGAAGAATATCTTTGCCACTGATCTCTGACAAGGGATTAATACCCAGAATACATACATAACTCAAAAAATCTAACACCAAAAAATACATAAATATAATAAAATAAGACCTCAAAATTAACAAATGGGCAAAAGAACTTAACAGACAATTCCTCGGGAAGAAATACTAATATATAAAAAACTCTTCAATATCCCTAGGAGGGATATGCAAATAAAAACTGCATTGAGATTGTATCTCACTCCAGTCAGAATGACAATCATCAAGAATATAAATAACAATATATGTTGGCAAGGATGTGGGGAAAATGTACACTCATACACTGTTGGTAGGAGTGGAAATTTAGTACAACCAATCTGGAAAGCAGGATGAAGGTTGCTCAAAAGACTAGGAATAGGACCACCATATAACCCAGCTATCCTGCTCCTCAATATTTACCCAAAAGAACTAAAACCAGCATACTATAGTGGCATAGATACATCAGTGTTTATAGCAATGCAACTCACAATAGCCAAGTTGAAGAACCAGCTCAGGTGCCCATTAAGAGATGAATGGATAAGGAAAATGTGTTACACATACACAATGGTATTTTCCTCAGCCATAAAGAAGAATGAAATTACAGCATCTGCTGGTAAGTGGATGGAATTAGAGAATATCATGCTAAGGGAAACAAGGAAGTCAAGGGTTGAATGTTTTCTCACATAGGGAGAAGCTAAACCATCTAGCTTTCTTAACAGTAAAGTCCACCATGAAACTGCTCCCAGTTTCAGTCAAAATATATTTAAAATGATAAAATTCACATTCCTGGACTCTATTATAGAGATTCTGAAACCACCAACCAGAAATGGGATCCAAAGTCATGTCTTTGAACTTCCACAGGGTATTTTAATGCAGGTTATGGTGGGACCACACTTGGGCACTGAGTGCTCTAGATCATGGGTGGGGGTAAGCCTTTAAAGAAGGGGCAAATGCAAGTGGTCCTAGTCATGAAATACGTGACCTGCCAATTAAGCACAGAATGTCTTGTGCAATAAGATTTGGTTCACTGAAATATCTCAACTCTAAGACACAAAAATATCAAGTAGTACAGGCTACTGGTGGGCTTTGAGGCTGGGTCACACACAGTTCAGCTTTCTCTTCAGCTCAACAATTCAACTTTACAAAAAAAGCTTACCCTAAGGACATAATCAGACTTTATTCAAAACATTGGTAGGATTGCAGAAATTATTTAAGAGTTCTGAATAAATAAGAAGAGGATGAAGCTACTCTTAATAACTTTTCCTTAAAATGCCGGCTATGGGCAGGGAACACGAAAGGAAAGCACACTGCACTTTGTGTCCCACATATTCAGACTTTGTTTTGCAAATGTTTTGTGGTTTCCATGGCAACCTCTGGTTTCTCTGTGTAAATGGGAAATAGGGAACCTCGGGGTTTTTTTCAAAAAATGATTAGTGTGTTCTTTTTATCCTGGTTAGCTCGTTCTGTGCTGACAAATTGCATTCTGACAGCTAGGTTGTAATCCAAAACATGCTTTTTTTAGAGACTCTGAATAATAAAGAATTTCCAGGGTTTGACAGTTATTCTTCATTTATAGTTTTATGTACATGAATTTGCTTTCATTGAATTCAAGAGATAAGCAAAAGTACTAAATACTTGGTATAAGTTTTAAATAACTCAGAAATATATTCTCACTTAAAATATTTGACATATCAACTTGATTACTATACTCTTGGTGTAAGGAAAGAACATTCTGAATCTGTTGGACATGAGCTGAGCCTTGACTCCACCATTACTAGTTGTGTGAGTTGGGCAAGAAGTCTAATCCTTTAGATCTCAGTATCCATGAATAAAGTAAAAATCAGAGATATATATAGTGTCTATAATAATGCCAAGTCTACTGAGCAGCCTCTCAATATAACAGCTATTATTACCAAAGACATAGCAAAGGCAGGCACAGAAACATACAAAATCTATTAGATTTGGTTTATAAAACTCAGGTCCACAGAGGGAAAATGAATAAATAAAAACTAATGCTGAACTGTCATTATTAGGATTGACCTCTTCAGGTTTCAGTTTTTGGTGACATTATTATGAGATGTACTCATCAGTAAGTTAGGAAAAGACTTAAAAATTTTTCAGATGGAAAACAGGACCGGCAAGCTTCACAAAGGAAGTTCTTCAAAACTGAAAATTCTGTGTGCCGTCAGCTAAAGTTAATGCATATCTCTGAAACAGCAAGTGACCAAGCTTTTAAGCTACTGGAGGTCCCTGTGAAACAGGCTCAGAAGCCTTCCACAGCCCACTGAAGATGAAGGAGTGGGATCGGCAAGGACAAGGATTCTCCTTCTCTGGGGCCGAGTCACTCTTGAGTAAGGTTCGCAGGGCAGCAGGGTCAGGACTCCCCACCTGCTTCCCAAGAACATTTATGAATCCATCTTTTCTTTTTCACATAGGCCCATCTATATTCTGTATCTCATGGTGTGACATTTTTTTAAACTGTGTCTAGAGGAAGAGAGTTTAGTGGGGACATGCAAGTCTTTCATCATTATATGCCCTAATTCTTAATCTGCCTTTATTCCTTAACTTCTGTTACTGTAACAAATGAGAACATCACAGATGATCATGGGGCAAAATATGGATGCCCAGAGCAAAATGCAAAATATTATAAAGCAAAACAAGATATTCTGAAATTAAAAACTATGTAAACTCTCTTCAAATTAAAGAAACAATTTGAGTCCTTACATCTGTATCATATATGGCACATAAACCCAACCTGTATATATAAAGTTGGTCAGTGTATTGAAAAGTATTTAATTACTAAACAACAACGACAAAACCAAGGGCCCAGCACCAAAAGACATCAACACCATGCCTTCACTGTTGGAATCTGATTTCCATCTATCTATTTTACATCTAAGGTAGTTCATTCTAGAGTGTGGCCATGGGCAGGAGAAAGGTCACTTGATGAAGATTTTTCTCTGATTGCCTACCTTCTCAGTGTACTATTCTTATCTACTTGTTATCAAGACAAGGTAAAATATAAAACTCTGGGAGCATGGCTTTAAAAAGAAAGTGCCAGTGATAATAGTAAGCTGTTCCCCACCCACCACCACCGCCCTCAGCACCACCCCCATTCTCTTCATTTCAGCATAGTTCAATGAGAGACTCATGATCCTTCATCTCTAATCTGTAACTGGTTAAGGTTGAGCCCCTAACCAAGCTGGGTCAATCCTGGCCCCTCCCAAGGATTCCCAGATAAAATAAAGGAACTCAGATAAATCTGAATATTAGATAAGCTGTGAATGATTTTTACTATAAGCATGCCCCAAATATTGTAGTGAGACATCCTTGTACTGCACACTGTAATGGTGGTCTCAGACCTGTCAATAACAGCTGCAAATGCACAGAGTACTTCCTGGGTTCCACGGGGCACTCTAATACTTTGTAAATACTAACTCAATAACTAAATGAAATGTCACAGAGGTATAAACATATGCCAATATATGGATGACCTGAGGTTAGAAGAGTGCCCTGTGTATTTTTAAATTTAGAAAATCATGCAAAACTTACTATAATTAAGATATTTTATGGATTACCACTGATAAGCTGCAAACCAATTTGTAAAAAACTTGAAAAATATAAGCAATGAAAACTAAAAGGCTGACAAAGCAGTGGGCTGAGAAGCCAGAGGTGAAAATTTCAGCCCCCCTTCTCACTAGCTAGGTGACCTTGGACAGTTCTCCTCCCTCATGGATCTAGGCTTTCTTACTTGCAACATGAGTCTTGGATGAGGTCATTATTAAGGTCTTTGCTTCCTCTAAAAGTCTAATATATCCTCCATAATACTGGAAGGACAGCTTGCAGGGAAAAGTTCATTACCTCTGCAATCATTCTGTTGGTGTCTCCTAAGAAGAGCAAATTCAGAGCTTCTTCCTCGTTTGTTGCTTGATGCAGAGACAGGTTTTTCAGATGAATGTTCTGATCAGTGTCCTCCAATAGTGTCACTTTCCTAGGGAAATGGGAAGCAAGAAAACAAGGAACTGTTGAGAAGACAAAGAATGTCAAGTCTTTCCTACAGGTTAATTTAAAAAACCGCACAGTAGGATGTCTTGAACTTATAAAGCGATAACACACCAGGAACCAAGCAGCACTGCAGGAGCATCAAACACTGACATTTCCTCAACAGTGCGATCAGATAGCACTGGGGCTGAAGAATAGATTACAAGCCTCTGATTTGAAGTCACCTGTCATTTTAATCATCAGATAATCTTAAATGTATATTCTTACAAAATTAAAAAATGCAAGAAAACTTTCTATCTCTATATTAGAAAACCAGATCATCTTGGTTTGGGGGGTCATAATTCAGTTTCTTACATGGATAACAAATTAATCCTTTCTTTTTTTTTCAATTGCTTATCACTTTCAACTTACCTTTCAAACTGGTTAGCTCATAAACTTAAACAGGGAGAATATATGTCATTCCTCTAGGGCATATTCTTCTGTATAGTTTTCACACCAATGTGAGTAAAAAGTTCTCAAGAAGTCTTATTTAACTTGTCATTATTCTCTGTCAAATCTGTTTCTTGATGCTTTTTCCTTTACTGCACACATTTTCCTTCTACTCTATCCTTAACATCAGAGCCTTAGATCTGAAATCACATTCATCTATTGCAACCACCTTTATGTACGCCCTGATGCCTACACCATTTCCTCCCAGGTGAATCCTAAGCCTGCTTCCAGTGATGGCTTGTTAGTACTCTCCTTATAGTCCCTTTAGGACTTTATTTTTTTTCTTATTTCTAAAAATTTTTTGATTTGTTGTATCTGACAACAGAATGCAATATAATTCATATTATACATTCAGAGCACAATTTTTCATCTCTCTGGTTGTACACAAAGTAGAGTCACATCCTTCATGTCTTCTTACATATATTTAGGGTAAGTGAACAAAGTTTGGCCAACATCCTCAAATCCTGCTTCAAAGGCCTACAAATTCAAGCCATAAACTTACTAGAGAGAATTCCCATGTCTCTGGAGTTTTACCTTCTTTATTTTCTTAAGAATCATTACAGAAAGGAAATTTATCATTCACAGGTATTGCCAAAGAGTATCTACAGGTATTTTCACTTGTTTAAAACATTTGGAATGGATGAGTGTAGGTGAAGGTTGCCATCATCTAGAGCTGCTTCTCCTTTAAAGGACAACAACTGACGTGTCACTTAGCAACAGACACATGTCACTTCCCTACTTATGAAAACTTACTTAGATTACCTTTACAATGAAGATTTTTCAAATATCATGATATTTTCATCCTTCTGTTTTGTAAGGAAGTTATCTGGGTTTTCATATGTAATTTGTGGGCACTTAAAATACTAATTGCAAGAAGAATATGCAGCTCTACCAGCACATCTGTGACCAATATGCCACTAATAATGTGCTCTTTTGCTGAATTTTGGCCTCCTTTATGTCTCCTTTGACAATACCCACAGAGATGGAAAAAGATCCCCTTCCTTAATGAAAACAAGTGTAATTTATTTATTCTTAAATAGGACTCATAAGTGAGCTTATTAAAAATGCTTGGAAAATATGAAGACATTTTTAATTGAAATGGATGAGTTGTGTTCTATTTTTAGGACCCTCCTTTATTTCTTATACTTCATTTCCATCCTGATCCTTCTGAAGTGCTTGAGTAGGTTTGACTATTTAAACTCCTGGGGACAGAATTCTTCCTAAATCCATAGACTGTGAGGATCTGAAGCTTTTACCTATAAAAATGAAAGAAGTTAAGTAATATTGGAAGATAAAGACATGAAATAAATGATGAGGTGGAATCTTAAAAGGGAAAAAGAAGAAAGTTCTGTCCTTTTCAGTATGAAGTCAATAATCCTCTAAGTTGGAGGTAAGTCACCTTTGATAGATTTTTTTTTTAAGACCCAGACAGACAAAATACTTCTCCTATACAAGTTCAGAACAGGTAGGGGCTCAGAGAAAGGGAGAGGGCTATCAGGAAACAATTCAAAGAAACCAGTGCTCTCACTCATTGGGCACCAGATGTATGCCAAGCACTACTGTATGCCAGGTATCTGCATTGTTTCATTTAATCCAGTTGTTCTCAAAAAGAACTACCTATGGAACTTCACACACACACACACACACACACACACACACACACACACACACCCCAAAACCAAACCCTGAGTCAGATCAGGTCCTGCCTTAAGAGTTTCTGATTTGATTGATCTGGGACACTGTCTAGGTATCAGAGTCTGTAAAGGCTCCAGGTGATTCTGGTGTGTGGTCAAGATTGAGAGCCAAGGACTTCATCTTTAATGACCCTTCAAAGAAGACACAGAGGGAGGGGATTTCTGGTTTCTTTTGTCTTTACTTTCCACCAACTGCATCTTACGCCCAAGGGGTAAAGTTACAAATCTCATTGGTTGTAGCTGAAGACACTGATGAGCCACATCTATTGACAGATGAGGAAACTGTGAAGTGTAAATCCTTCATAGGAAGCCTTTACCTCCCCGACCATGCAGCTAGGGGCTAACCAAGCCACACAACAATAACCACAATAACTAATGCTAAGCTGGGGATTATTCATCTAACTAAACATCTGTAGTGTTTATGTCAAAAAATGTTTGTGATAGGAAGAACACATCACCCATACATTTCTCCTTATTACTTCACTGAATAGAAAATGCAGTAAATGAGCAAGGATGGAATTCTAAGCATGCACATTTATTAGAAAACCTAAGTGGGTCACTGATTTAGGGTTATATTTATATAAAAAAAATACAAGCATAAGGTGCCAAGGGTTTGCCAAATGCCATCACTGGTGTTTAGCTAAGCAATTTTTTTTTTTTTTTTTTTTTTTTTTTTACCATTCAGAGCCTTTGATCTCCAATGTGGCTATTTCAGAAACACACTGGTACTTGTCCAGCTTTGTTACTTGGATCACAATAACAATTCGCACCCTCCCCCCCCAGTTTTTCTTCATAGAATTTTGAGATGTTTTTTGTAACCCAACCCGGCATTTAAAATTTTTTTTTCTGATATAATGTTTCCCTAATAGTTTTTTGATTTCTTATTAATACAATGAATATAGTGTCTCATTTTTTATGTTATGGCCAAGTGTAGCTGTGTTGATTTCTATTTTCTTTTAGCTTTATTTTATTTATTTGTACATGGTATTAAGGACTGAACCCAGGGCCTCACACATGCTAAAGTAAATCAAGAGGTAGGTTGATCTCCAAACTTCTTTCATACTCTTAGTGCTCATATGTGGACACCCAACAAAAGGTTAGACTTTGGTATTCTTCTGGAACCTCTGAGAGGCAGCCTCTTCTCTCTTGTCCATTCTTTGTAGATTCATTCTGGTTTCTGCCCAATTCCTGGGCATGAGGATTGGGACCTTCCCTTATTGACCTGTCTGTCCATGTGTCAACCCCAGTTCTCACAGCTATGTTCACAGGCCAGCCTGAGGCTTGCCGTGGCTTCTATCTCTTGCCTAGGAGAGCTAACCAGGGAGTGAAAATAAACTTAAATTCTCCTACCAGTAGAACAGCTTTTCAAAGTTGGGGAAAATAAGAACCCTTATAAGAGTTTCTCATCCAGTTGCTTCCTATCTCTCTCTCTCTCTCTCTCTCTCTCTCTCTCTCACACACACACACACACACACACACACACAC